CATCAAGTACCAAGGAGGGATGGGGGCATGATTCAGAAGGCCATCTTCAGAAAGAACAATCAGCCACCCAGCCTCTACTTTTTTTTTTTTTTTTTAATGCAGGACTTGAATTCACAACCCTGAAATCAAGATCTGAGCTCAGATCAAGAGCCCAATGCTTAAGCAACTAAGCCACGCAGCCCCCTGCCGCTACTCTTAAGAGGCCCCTGGCCTTGTCACAGTCATGAATCATAAGGACCATTCAGGAGGTGTCAAAATTCTAGCCTCTCTAAAAAGGGCTAGTGAATGGGGTGCCTGGGTGGCTCAGTCAGTTAAGCATCCAACTTTTTGGCTCAGGTCATGATCTCTCGGTCTACGGGTTTGAGCCCCACATCGGGCTCTGTGCTGATAGCTCAGAGCCTGGAGCCTGTTTCAGATTCTGTGTCTCTTTCACTCTCTGCCCCTCCCTAGCTCATGCTGTCTCTCTGTCTCAAAAATAAATAGACATTTAAAAAAAATTTTTTTTAATAATAATAAAATAAAAAGAGCTGGTTAAGTAAATCTGGGCTTTTCTATCCAAAGAAAACCACTCTCCGACTTCCCAGGATGCTACTTAATACCTTATTACACTTCCAGCACTTGCCTAAGTAGGCATCATAACCTGGATCACATTAGAGGGCACCTTGGTCCAGAACTCTCTCCTTTGGAGCCTAGATAGAAACAAATCCCAGACAAGACTGGTCGCAACCAATGAGGCTCCCTTCGGATGGTGTCTTAATGTGAAGGGCAGTCTAACTCAGAGCTTAGTCTCTAAGTCACTGTAGCAGCTCTCTGTTATTGGTGCCTTGTCTTCCTGGAGGCTACCAGGTTGCATAATATGGAGAAAAGCAAGTTCTGAGTTCTGTAGTCCCATCCAGTCACCTATGTGTCCACCATCCTTACCCAGCAACCTTACTCAGTTCCACTAAATTACCATATGCCCTGGGGACTGGCCTGCCCCAATTTCTCTCAGGGTCACATACATACCACGTGTGCAAAGAGGCAGTATAGCAAAGAGGTGAAGAACAAGGACTCTTGAGCTAGACTGAGTTTAAATCTCGGCTCCACGCTGCTCCTGAGTAGGCCAGTGACTTTCCTTTTCTGAGCCGTGGTTGTCTCATCTGGAAAACAGGGATAAGAGTACCCATCTAAGAGCATTGTTGGGAGAAATGAATGAGTTGATGCATAAAGGTGCCTGAACAGTGCCTCACATAAATCTTCACAAGTATTAGCTATTATTGTAGGGAAGTCTTCTGAAAGGGGCTTGGGGAGAGCTAGACTATAAACAAAAAACAAATGTCAGTTTGGTCATTGACTTCTGCCTTACCTTATGCTTGTAAAAGGAAAGGAATGGACTTTTTTTTTAAAATTTTTAATGTTTATTTATTTTTGAGAGAGACAGGCAGAATGTGAGTGGAGGAGGGGCAGAGAGAGAGGGAGACACAGAATCCAAAGTGGGCTCCAGGCTCTGAGCTAGCCGTCAGCACAGAGCCCAACGTGGGGCTCGAACTCTCAAACCGTGAGATCATGACCTGAGCCAAAATCAAGAGTTGGACACTTAATTGATTAAGCCACCCAGGCACCCCAATGTATGAATTTTAAAAACATGTGGGGGCACCTGGGTAGCTCAGTCAGTTGAGCTCCCTACTCTCGATTTTGACTCAGGTCATGATTCCAGGGCTGTGGGATCAAGCCCTGTGTTGGGCTCCATGCTGAGCATGAAGCCTGCTTAAGATTCTCTGTCCCTCTGCCCCGTTCTCGTCTTCTCATGCTCTAAAATTAAAACTTAAAAAAAAAAAAAATGTGTTTAAAGTCAACAATAAAAGACCTAACATGATAGTTACTTTCCTCACGGGGAGAACTGTGTTAAAGCTGGAGAGAAAGCCTGATGTGAAGATTGATCTAAAAGTAGATTTTATAGGCATAGATGAGGGATATAATGACTGGCACAGATTTTCAGAGGAAGTTATTTTCAACTGTGGTGGTCAGGGAGAAAGTGCCACTTTAAGCTGGGTCCTAATGGAGACTAACTTGCAAATTAAAACGAGTGATAATGTGTGACAACTGCCTCTTGATTAAAACAACAATGCTAAAAAAAAAAAAAAAATAGTGATGCCTCCTCAGAAAAGGTAGAAAGTCCTGGGGCACCTGGGTGGCTTAGTCAGTTAAGCGTCCGACTTTCGCTTAGGTCATGATCTCGCGGTTCGTGGGTTCGAGTCCCGCGTCGGGCTCTGTGCTGACTGCCAGCTCAGGGCCTGGAGCCTGTTTCAGAGTCTGTGACTCCCTCTCTCTNGCCTGGAGCCTGTTTCGGAGTCTGTATCTCCCTCTCTCTGATCCTCCCCTGCTCACGCTGTCTCTCTCTCTCTCTCCTAAAAAAAAAAAAAAAAAAAAAAAAAAAAAAGGTAGAAAGTCCTGCTTTAATCAACAAAGATCTGGTCCTGCAATCCTCAAATCAAGCCTGGGGTCCCCATGCAATGAGCTCATCACAATGGTGAAAGCCATCGAAGCTTCTTGGAGGAGTTTGAGATGTGAGGTGTATATTACTTCTCCCTTTATTCAACACTAGTAGGCCAACCATAAGCAGCTTTAACCACATAAATTCGTTTTGACAATATAAACCTGTTCCAAACCAGGTTATCAAAAATGCTGGAGGAAGGATAAATGTTTTCTCCACAACCCAAACTATCGGTTCCAGGGAAGAAAAGCTTTTGAAAGGACCCTGCTACCTAAGATGTTAACACACATTATTATTATTTTTTTTTAATTGGAACAGTTAGAGAAGCTGTGTAGAGCTCTTCATTTTTTTTTTTTTAATTTTTATTTATTTCTAGGAGAGAGAGAGACAGCGTGACAGGGGAGGGTCAGAGAGAGGGGGAGATACAGACTCTGAAATAGACTCCAGGCTCCGAGCTGGCAGTCAGCACAGAGCCCGACGCGGGACTCGAACCCACGAACCGCGAGATCATGACCTAAGCGAAAGTCGGACGCTTAACTGACTAAGCCACCCAGGCGCCCCGAACACACATTATTTTAAGAGCTCTGTTTCCAATAACAGACACTGTTACGGAAGACTTTTTCCCTCCCTCACCTTGAGTTTCTAACAGTTACTAAAAATTTCAAGTATTTCAATAATTATTCTCAGATGTCACCATTCCATCAGAGTATTTTGTCTTACAATTTTCAGAATAAAAATCTTTTTTTTCCTCTCTCTTCGGTTGTGCTTTTCAGCTCTGAAACTCAAGCCCTGTTGAACTTCAAGCTGTAGCTAACACTATATGAGCACTTGAAGTAGAAGGATTGGAAAGTCAGTGACAAGGGAGAGTTCAAAAGGGCCCTTTCAGTGAGGACAGTATTGCTAGGGGTAGAAATAATTGTATACTAAGGCAAAGATTCATAGAAAGGAGGTTGAGTATATGATCAACCATGAGTCTATTTAACTTGGACACGGCAGTATTCCAGTCAGTACAAAAAGGAGCAATGAGCTCAATTTTGAACTGGAATTCTTTTCTGTGTTGGAAGAGCCTATCCCTGGGGCCAGGAAAAAAAACTCACTTCCTGGTGGCATTAGTCATTTTCAGGTACAGATGAAAATACACACATACAGGGGCACCTGGGTGGCTTAGTCGGTTAAGCGTCCGACTTTCGCTTAGGTCATGATCTCGCGGTTTGTGGGTTCGAGCCCCGCATCGGGCTCTATGCTGACTGCCAGCTCAGAGCCTGGAGCTTGTTTCAGAGTCTGTGACTCCCTCTCTCTCTGACCCTCCCCTGCTCACGCTGTCTCTCTCTCTCTCTCTCTCCTAGAAATAAATAAAACATTTAAAAAAATTTTTTAATTAAAGAAAAGAAAATACACACATACACACATAGAAAGTCTGATGGTTGGAGTCTCTTGGGCTACTTCAGGTTTCAGTTCAGTGTTTCTTCTTGGGGATTTGTGGATTAGCAGTCACAGCTAATTCTTTGCAGGAGTAAAAGGAAGGAGTGTCGGAGGCCGGCTCCGATAGGTCCAGGGGTCCCTGAAGGATGGACTGTGTCGGCGAGAGAGAGAGTGAGAGAGCCCCGAGATTCTTTCTGATCACCAGGCAGTCATCTCTGACCGGTCGGTTTTGGTGTCTTTATTTAAAGGTTCAAGAACAACATGAGATCAGAAAAAGGAATTTTTACAATGGGAAGCCTTTTGTGAATTACCTCAATACTAGTGAGGTTGAATTTCACAACTAAGGAAATAACAGGATGTTCTTAATGAAAAAATAGGATGACATATATATGTTAAGTCGTAAATAGTTAGGCTAGGAATTATTCTGTTTGGCTCTCAAGAGGATGAATGTTTTTGAACTGGTTAGTTTGTGGAAACCTATTTGATGCTAAATGTGTGAACACCACGGGGGCCCTAAAGGTGTTAGCCTTTTGCTTTTGGGTTATGTGTTAGCTACTCTTTTCTATCCTCATCCCAGCCACCTGTAAGGGAGGATGTTTGCAGATGGTATGCCTTTGGGAAGGGACTGCCATACATCATCAGTTAGAAGAAGCTGTACGTGTTAAGTTTTACCCCTGTTTGTTCCTAAACTCTAAATTAGGCTCTTTGTCTTGGGGCCAGGCTCAATTGTCTTTGATATGCAAGGCCCATAGGAAGAGGCTTTTGACAGTCACCCACAGAGCTCTCATCTAAAATCTCTTTTGTAAAGGCAGGAATATGCTTTTCCTTATGTGGTATCTGTGTTCGGAATATGGGTCTGATATGGAATATTGTGAGGCCGGGTCAATACCAGCAGGCTCATTTCTAATACAAACCAGTAGTAGCAGAAGGAGATACCAGTTTTTGTTTCTCACCGCAGGAGCTGTGCAAACGCTGTCATTTCCTTGCTGTGACTGCCATCAGAGAGGCCAGTGCGGCTCCCAGCAGAGGAGAGCATTTTCCGCACTCAGAAAAAAAAAGGGGGATCACAGTTATAATCATCCATGAAAGTATGATTCTTTGGTATTTAACAAAGCAAAGAGTCTGGATGACCACACATTCGAAGCAATTCTCCACTATGAAGTCTCTGATGCCTAATGAGGGCCGAACTACACCTGAAAGCTCTCCCACATTCATTACACTCACAGGGTTTCTCTCCAGTGTGAATCCTCTGATGCTGAGTAAGATGGGCACTTCTGCTGAAGGCTTTCCCACACTCAGAGAGTGTGAGAGTGAGAGAGGCACTATGAGGGCAGTCAAACGGTTTCTCTCCAGTATGAATCTTCTGGTGCTGAGTAAGAGATGAACTCTGGCTGAACGCTTTCCCACAATCTCTACAGGTGTAAGGTTTCTCTCCGGTGTGGATTTTTGTGTGTTTTATGAGAGTTGAGCTCTGACTGAACGCTTTACCACATTCTCGACACTTGTAGGGTTTTTCTCCAGTATGAGTTCTCTGATGGCGAATAAGGGCTGATCGATCACTAAAGGGTCTCCCACAGACATTACAGGTGTAAGGTTTCTCTGCAGTGTGAGTTCTCTGATGTTGATAGAGGTGTGAGCTCTGGCTGAAGACCTTGCCACATTCGCTACATTCATAGGGTTTCTCTCCAGTGTGAATAAACTGACGGATGATAAGGGACAAGTTGTGGCTAAAGGCCTTCCCACATTTGCTGCATTCATAGGGCTTCTCTCCAGTATGAATAAACTGATGCTCAATACAGGATGAATTGTGACTGAAGGCTTTACCACATTCGTTACATTCGTAAGGCTTCTCTCCAGCATGAATTCGCTGGTGTTGAATAAAGTGCGTTACCTGAATAAAAGCCTTCCTGCATTCATGACATTCATGGGGCATCTCTCCAGTATGAATTCTCTGATGTTGAATGAGAGAGGCACTATGATTAAAGGCTTTCCCACATTCACTGCATTCATATGGCTTCTCTCCAGTATGAATTCTCTGATGTACTGTAAGGGCTGAATAATTACCAAAAGTTTTTCTACATTCACTTCATTCCTAAGATTTCTTGCCATGTTGGTTTCTCTGATGCTGAATAAATGGTGTATTCTGAATGAAGGCTCTTTCATTCACATTATATTCCTTCCCACTATGAACACTAAGATGATGTTTGGTAAGGTATGAGTCCCAGGTACAGTCTTTCCTATCTTCATAAGACTCCTCTCCAATATTAGCTTTCTGATGTTCAGTGTGGTGTATGCCATGGCCAGAGGTCTTCCCATACTGATTATCTTCCAAATTTTTTTCCCCATTATGAGCCACACGATGTTGAACATATACTGAGTGATCACTGAATATTTTACCACATTCATTACACTGAAGAGTGTTCTCATTTGTGCTATCTTTCTGATGTCTTACTAATTTTGAATTTTGTTTAAAGCTCGTTCCCTGAGCATCACATGGATATGGTCTCTCTTCTTTAGGATGTCTTGACTGTGTAACAAAGTCTGACTTCGGACTAACATGTCTGTCAGATTCAATACATTTGAGGTTACTCTCAGCTATAGAAGTTCTTTTCTTACAGATAACCATTGTTTCTTTCCAGAATCTATCTTGAGTATCCTCTTTGATCTCTGCATATCCCCAGGCTTCTTTCAAACTTGCATCTGCCTCTGTGTTTCTCTCCATACTTATCCCTTGGTATGATACTTCTTCAGAAAATACATTCTTTGGGTTTAATTTTCTGGTCTCCAAATCTGCAGGGGAAAAGTAAAAATGTTCCCTGTACTAGAAGAAGGAAATGGCTACACCAGGAATGAGATAATTGCATCAATACCATTGGTCACAAATATAAGTCATGTAATCAAAAAAGAATTTGGGGGGGGGCACTTGGGTGGCTGAGCCAACTTTGGCTCAGGCCATGATCTCGAGGTTTGTGACTTCGAGCCCCATGCCGGGCTCTGTGCTGACAGCTCAGAGCCTGGAGCCTGCTTCAGATTCTCTGTCTCCCTCTCTCTCTACCCCTCCCCCACTCATGCTGTCTCTCTCTCTCTCTCTCAAAACTAAATATTTTTTTAAATTTATAAAATAAATAAATAAGTACATAATTTATCGAATACCTATTATGGGCTAGGGCTCAATGATGAACAAAGACACAGTACCAACTCTTTTGAGATTTATAGTCTATTGGGAAAGATAGGTATTAATCAAATATTTTCAAGAAAGATGAATGCTGTAAAATAATGTTAGGGATACTTCAACTGGGAAATGATCAATGTAGGAATGATAGCTGCTCTTGGCCTCTGAACCGCTAGAATCTTCTGTTGCTTTCATTACTATTACCACCAGCAGCCCCCAGGCCCCTCATCTGGAGTTCACCACAGCTGGGCACATTACTCAGTGCCTACATCTTCTGTTCCCACTGGCTCAGTTCCACAGTAACCCTCCTTGATTACATCTGAGCTTGCTATCAGATTCAGTAAGATCATTTCCCATAGTCCTTTGCTACCATGAGTGTTACCATTTGCCAGAAATTTCCTTCAGCTTTCAGTTTTTTCCATCTCCCTGGGCCTCCGAAAATACACACACACACACACACACACACACACACCATCAAAGACAAAGAGGGTCAAAGTTCAGGAGAACGCAGAAATTTTAGGCAGATCGGGGGGCAGTAGTGAGTAGTACTCACTACTAGTACTAGTCCATCGTCCTTGTGGATACACATGACATACGTCTTACTTGTTATAAAGTTGGGACTTTGTAATTGGGAATCTTGTAAGTACTCGTTCAACTTTATTAAAGGTAAGAGGAACAGAGCACACATGTTTTGCAAGCTGGACTATTTTCAAAGTAATCTTGTATGTGGCTTATATAATGTAGGAAAATGAAAGTTAAAAGAAGGCAGTGGAAGTTAGGCAGGAGACAAAAACAGTAGCAGGGGACTAATCCACTATCAGGTTAACCAAAAAAGAAGGAACGACCTATTAAGTCCCATGGACACTCTTGAGGTCTTCTTCTCTTGATCTCATAATGCTATGGGCACCTCCTCTCCTTGAAATGCTCTTTTCTGTTGGCTTCAATAACTAAATCTGACCCAGTTCCCTCCTACTCTGGCCACTCTGTCTTTGTATCCTTTTTGGATTCTCTTTCCTTCATTTATATTGGTAACATTTGTATGACACATCTCTACTGCCATCATCCATTATTAAAAATTATTACCATCCTATGATTTTGACACCATTTTTCCCGTGTTTGTTTTTGAAAACTTACTCAAGTGATATAGACATATAGACATAGACAGACAAATAGCAGATGTTTAAATGTGTATGTTCATTGGGCTTCTAGGTTCTCTTGCAACTTTTTTCATGCTCTGTTTCTCTATTTTTATATTTCATCCACTCCCATGACTTCAATTACCAACTATTATTCTCAGATGATTCTTAAATCTGCACCACCATTTATGATTTTTCCTTCACCAAAATTGACATCTTCCTTATATTTATCTACTTTCCAGACACCTTTATTTAGACCAGAGTTTCTCCCCTGCAGCACTACTGGCATTTTGGCAAGATAAGTCTTTGTGTGAGGGCTTGTCTTGTGCATTATAGGATATTTGGCAGCATCTTTGGTCTCTACTCACTAGATGCCCATAGCACCCTCCCAGTCTTCAGACATGTCTCCTGGGGGTAAATTTGCCCCTTTCTGAGAACCGTTAGTTGCGACCTACTATCGACTCTTCAAACAACTTAGAATAAGCAGAACCTGCCTTCCATCCCCATCCCCAAACTTGCCATTTCTCCTGTGTTTTCCATCTCAGGGAAAAGAACTTCCATCCACCTATACCACCAAGCCAGAAACCTGGAAATCATCTTTGTCTGTTTCTCCCTCACCCCCCACATATACTCAGCAAATTCTATCCATTTTACCACCTTAAAATTGGATGTAAGATCACAGTTCTTAAACTTACATTCAAATTCTTCCATTCTCTTCATACTTTTTAGGGAGGAGAAAAACTAGGTGTAATGAAAACAAAGTAAATGAAGGAGAGACTCCAACAACTAGACAGAAAGAGGGGATGACCTCATATAATGCCTGGAGTGAGACACAACAGTGAGCCCCAGATCAAGTGTCAGGGCCATAACTTTAAGGAGGAAGTACACCCTTCCTTGAGACTGGGAAGAATTAGAGTGAGGCTAACAAGACTCTGATTATGTCCAAATGAAGATGAGACTTGAGGGGGCCTCAACATTTTCTACAGGTCTGGAGGATTTGGGGAAGAACCCCTAACTCATATTTCAAAAGATGTTGTCTGTCTTGTTCCCACTTACGTGTACAGCCCCTTCTTAGTACTTCTCCCTCCTGCGTCCACGGATTTACTGCTTGTTCCAACCGGGAGATGATATCAGGTTTAGAAAACGGAAATCCTGCTCAAGAGAAAGAAATGGAACGTGACTGTCAATTTCAGAGACCAAGGACCACCCCATTTTCAGCCCCACTCTTGCGTTTTCAAGAGCAGAAAACAAAATAACTTATTGCCGAAAGCAATGAAATATTTTTAACCAAAGTGGAGTGAGAAACAGTTTAAGGATCTGCTCTGGATTCTGGAGGAAAAAGTTAACCGAAGCCTTCTTTGTGATCTTCCCCTAATAGGAGCAAGGAAATCTGTAGAAAGCAATGGCAACCCGAAAGGCCTACCTGAGGTGAGGACCCAACCTTACCCAAGGAGACCAGGTTCCTATGGTTCTCCAGCATTACATCCCTGTACAAGACTCTCTGCACAGGGTGCAGTTGTCTCGATTCTTCCTCAGTTAAGTTCACAGCCACATCCTTGAATGATACAGTCTTGAAACACCTACATGTAGTTTGAAGGGATAGTTGAATACAGAATTAGGAGAGATGGATGGAATGGAGAGGAAATGGATCTCACTATGTTCTTAGTGTCAAAAGCATATTGACTTGTAGGTTAAAGAGTCTTAAAATGTGTATACCCTTTTGTCACGCCAATTCTATATCTAGAATATATCTAGTATATCTAGAAATATATAATAATAAAATGGTCAGAGATATGACAAAAGGGTTGTAAACAGACTCTTACCTGTTTACAACTTACAATAGCAAAATAGTTCTAAATAACTTAAGTGTTTGAGGAGAGGGGCAGAAACTGCTAACTACATTTCCCTTCTTCATCTTTCTAGGTAGACAAATGCTTCCCAATCTCTTTTGCAGTTAGATGTGGCCACATGACTGAGTTCAAGTCAAAAGAACGCAAGCAGAAGTGAGGTACACCATTTCCAGGCTGGACTCACATACATTCCTCCATACTGTTCTCCACTTCTGGCTGGCTAGTATGGGGATGACCCCAAAGGTGGGTCTGGGATCCATGTGGTAGAGATATCAGAGCTTCAGATAGCACAAGGCCCTGAATGGCCACACTATCAACCTGAATACCCAGTCATTTGGTTACAAGAACAAGAAAGAAATTTCTATCATACTGGGGCCATTATACATTTGGGGTCTATCAGTTATACCAGTTACAAGTTAGCCAATCCTAATCAATTCAGAAACTAGCACCTTAAAGTGGAAGGTATCGTTAACAAAAAGCCCCAAATATACTGGGGCATTGGCTTGACATTCAGGCAGCAAGTTTCAAAGAAATGGGTATTTAAGGCTGGAATGATGTAGACTCTTGATATACACTGGCAAAGTAATTAGTAACCGTGAAAGCACACCAAAAGTTCACTGAGCCTGTAGCTCCGGGGGAAGAAGCTGGAAAGAGCCAGAATGCTAGCTTGTGCAGGACACTTCTGGATCTATTTGGCAAAGAAATAAAGACCTGAGCTCAGGAAGGAATTTACCAACTTTCAAGCTAAGATAAAATGGAGTCCCGAAATTTGGGGCTTCACAGGGTTGGAAAAGCAAACTGTTTCTAGACCTCATACAATAGGAAGTTAATCTAAAAAAGGCTTTGAGCAACAAAGGCCCATTAAAACTTCTCAAGCTAAACAAAGTGACTTAGCCCAATTAAAAAGACTGAGTTAAGGATGTAGTGTTCCCATCCAATCCTATTGTTCACCAAGCCTTAAGGTTATCTTCATTAAAAAAGAGACACAGTAAGACACAGTAGGGGTGCCTGGGTGACTCAGTTGGTTAAGCTTCTGACTTTGGCCAAGGTTATCTCACAGCTCATGAGTTCAAGCCCCCTGTCGGACTCTGTCAGCTCAGAGCCTGGAGCCTGCTTTGGAATCTGTGTCTCCCTCTCTGCCCGTGCCCTGCTCACTCTCTGTCTCTCAAAGATAAATAAGAAAATTAAAATTTGTTTCTTCAAAAGAAAGAGACACAGTAATAAACTGAGAAATACACCAAGCTTGAGAATTCGATCTAGGAAAGAACTTTGGGTGTGATTATTAGTACATGGCAAACAGATCAGAAGCTTCTGAAGTTCTTTAGGTTTTTTTTATCCATGATTTCAATGGACTTCCTTTCTTCCTGTCTCAGAGGAAGCAGTACGTAAGCCGTTTATGTCACTAACTTCCCAAATATTTCTTCTCTGAAATCTACTCATCCTTCACACCCTGCTTCAAATCTCACTGCTTCTATTAACTAGGGGCTCCTTAAAAGGGCTTAAAAGTGCTGCCTGAATTGATAAAGCCTTCCCCAATCTCTCTTAGCTGGACACACTTCCTCCCTCTCCTTTGAAATCATACATTTTCCCTAAAGCACCTTGAGAAGGCTCTCAGTAAATTGGCTGATCTGTGCCACACAAATTCATGTACATGTCTGTTTACCCCAGGGAGAACATTCTAAGCAGATGGATACAACAGATATTTCACGTGCCTCTGCTTATCTAAGCCAAATGCCTCAAGTGGACAAAGGGAAGCGTGACTCTCACCCAGCCACGCTCACAGCCCTCTCCCTCCCCATGCCCTCTATTGCCAACTGATGGGAGAGACCGCCCCCAACCTCACTGCTGCTTCCACACAAAAAGGAACACCCAGTCACCATGTTGTTGGAGGTCCATCCCACCCTCTTGATTCCATCTTTTAAAATTGCTGATGCTGATAGGGCTGACGAGCTCCGTGTGAAGACAGAGGAACTTATTTGCTTCAGGAATTAAAATGAGGTTTCGGGGATGACAAGAAAATCCCTGACTCACCTGAGACTCTGCTGTTCGAACAGCAGCCATATTCTCCTCCTCAAGATACCCCTTCTGGAAAAGGCCAGAGCCCCAAGATGGCAGAACTGGAAGGGAAGAGTAATAAAGTAGTACAGTTTATTTTTTTGAACTTTATGGGTTTATTTTGAGAGAGAAAGAGAGCACAAGCTGGGGAGGGGCAGAGAGAGAGGGAGAGAGAGAGAATCCCAAGCAGGCTCCGCACTGTCAGCAAAGAGCAGGAGACGGGACTCAAACCAACGGACCATGAGATCATGACTTGAGCCAAAACCAAGAGTCAGACGCTTAATGGACTGAGCCACCCAGGTACCCCAGAATCCAGTTTATTAATATGTATCTCAGACCTATTATTTTAGAAATAGCCTCTTATGACAAAAAGTGCCTCTGACCTTGGCTGTCACATGGCTTGAAGGACTCCCACAGACACCTAAGTAATGAGGCTTCCAAGATAACCTTAGAGAGCAGACTGAATGTAAACTTAGGGAAAGGTATGATCATTAACTGGGTTCAGGATATGCCTGAGCCCGTGCCTGAGAACGAGGATTCCTGTGACCCACACCAAAAGAAACACATACTATTGGGGTGGGCAGGAAGCTTACAGAACTTCCTGTCTCCTTTATTCATAAATAGAGACACTTTCCAACTTCACAGAACAAGAAAAAGGAGCCATGGAGGAAAACGGCAACAGTACCCAACCTGGCTGTCAAGGACACAGGAAGCATCAGCTACCAGATCATGAGTACCCCAGGCCCTGACTAAGTAGGTAGCCGCCCTAGATTGGTTCCATCGCACACGTGATCCACTAAATCATCATCTGTCACCTCAGCCTCCCCTGCATCCCAAGCACCAAACATAAGATAGCGGGTGGCAATAGGCCCAGTGTTGGGAATGAATTAACGATCCCTCTAACTCCTTTGTCTGACCCTGTACCCATTGAACAGCCTCCTGCTTGTGACTGCCTTTCCCATTCTGATTTTTTTGCCTTCTGGAAGAAAACCAGTCATATTAACTTTGAGCACTTCTTTGAGCTTGTCTCTGGGTGGGAGGGTTTACATACCTTTTGTTTTATTCTATATAGAATTCAGTTGTCTTCGTACTCTTGAGTTTATTATTTAACTCTCATCCCCCACCTCCACCAAAAAGCAATTCTGAAAGCCCCTTGTGGATTTGTTCGGGGAAGAAATTGGAATTTCAAGCCCTTATCAAAAACGTTATGGAGTTTCACGATTTAAAAAAAAATTATGCCCCCTACAATGTTTTCTCACTAGAACACTGGCTCTGGGGGCCGCCTGCTTGTTTTTAAATCCTGGGCTCCGCACGGCGACAGGCAGGTTTCTTCTGTGCTTTACTTTCCTCATTTGAGGAATGGGAATATAATGGTATCCACCTCAAGACGGTGCATTAATGTATATAAAGGGTCCCAATCAATAAGCTTTCAGTAAAGGTCATTTGTCAGCTCATTCTTATTCTTACTATTTTCTGCATATCACCACTAACCAAAAGTTTATGGGATTTTCTTTCCAGCCTTTGTTTTATGAAAACAGAAGGCGTAATCAGTGTATTTGGCTACACCCCAAACCCTGACTTCCCCACAAGATGGCTGTCCCCTTCTTGTACTGGATGCTGGCAATCGGTGAAAGATAGGGTAGAGACAGGAGCACATAAGTTTCATGGCCTTGGTAAAGCAGAGGGGCTGCAGGCAGGATGTTTGGGAAAACCAGACTTCAGACAGACCGTGGAAGTCCCTTCTAATCTGGGCCATCACTTTGTATCTCCCTTCTTAAGAGAGATTGAAAGGAAGTCAGGAGCAGTTCCCAGTCCCACCAGAAGGGGGCAGTAGACCCTTCAGATGTAGCCCTCCGCCCCCGACCCTCGCGCTGCACCTTAGCTCCCCCCTAGAATGCCAAATCAATTCATCAGCTTCTCCATCAACCAATTTCCTTCTCTCCATCCAAGGAGTCTGACACGCCCCCTCTCATCCTTCGGAGAGGTATCTAGTATAACAGAGTATGCAGGGTGAGATGTCTTAACTTTTTGGAGCTTCAAGAGGGAATGATGTTAGTAAAATTACTACTACTTACGGAGCACTCACTATGTACCGATGCTTTCCATAAATCATATTTTTCTTTCTTTCTTTCTTTTTTTTACAAATGAAGGCGTTGATGACGCGTCTCAGAGCTGCCCACACACATTTTACAAGGCTGCTGTGAAGGAAAACCAAGATGACGTTAAGTGCGCACACGGTGGGTGCCCAGCTAACAGCGGGGGCCTCTCTCCCTTGCAATTCTTCCCTCTGTTCTGGAGTTTGTGGGTCTGCTCCTCCTGAACCAAGCCTCCACACCACCATTTGGGGACAGCAACCTCACCCAAACCCTCCACGCCTCTTCCTGGGGGGTTACCAGCATTCTCCCAGAAACTCTAGCAAGAGATTCTGGATTGAATCCTTCTTTCTCATTGTATTTCTTTTTCCGTGCTCTGAGACCCCACCCCTAACAGTGATCAGGGAGTCTGAAGCAGTCTATTTTGGGCTAAGACTAAAGCCACGAAGTTCAGCGGTCACTCAGGCTTCAGGAGGCCCTATTTACAGGGGAGTCTAATATAACCTTCTAATAGAAGTCTAATAGAAGCTTTACTAAGCCAGTGTCCTGCTGGGAGTAAAGGCCCCTGCGTTCTCATTTCTAGTACCAGCTGGCTCGGTGACCCAGGACAAGTAGCTTTTCTCCCTGAATTTCTGTTTCTTTTTATGTACAAGCGGGGAGGGCGATACCTACTATTAATGACATCAAGCCCTTACTTAGTGCCTGGTGCTGTGTCAACTGTTTCATATCAAATTTCCATTTAACCCTCACAATGGCCACTTAAAAGGTAGGAACAATAAACTTCACTTGACGGGTAAGGAACGGGGGATGCAACATTCAGTCATTTGCTTACGGTTACATTACTAAGCCATAACCGCTTTCTCGAGCTGTAGACAAACAGATCCCTTACACCCACGTCTCCCACGTCAACACGGAGTCTATGCAATGGTTCCACCACGCTGTGGGGTGCAAGGGCACAAAGGCAGACGCCCATCGGTCTGCGACCTGGGAGCACTGAGAGCCTTGGGCCCCACCTGCCTCACCTCCCAGCGAAAGACCTGAGGTATCTCAGAGTCAAGCACACATACAGACCATTGTCACGGACACACAAAAGCCAGAGCAGAGGGGCCAGGGTCAAGGGGGCCGGGCCCAGACAGACAGCACCCCAGCTCCAGCAGAAAGGATTGTGGTCAGATCAGCAGGCCCTGGGAGAACCCCAGTGGGACGCGGTCAGACCCCCAAGCCTGACAACCCACTGCTGGACACACACCCCTGCCCAGCGTCTGCTCCTCCCCGGCCCAGACACCGAGCAGGTCACTTTAAGGGAGCATCTCAAGGATAGAGTCGCAGCGAGCAAAGCCGGTCCAGACAAAGGAGCCGGAAGCGGACGCGTGCGCGGAGGCTTCTGGGAAATGTAGTCCCTCCTTGTTCCGCGCGGGGACTCTGAGAAGCCCTGGTCATGACCTCCTGGACGCTCGGGTGTTCTGCGCTCAGAGACAAGCCCTCCCACGGACCTAAATAGAGAGGCTAACGTTGGCAGCCCCGGGGAAAGTGGACAGGAACCATTGGGGGCGTTTACTAAACCATCAAGGACTGTGGAGAGTATTTGGGGGCGGGTGGGAGTGCATCGGGGAGCAGAGGTCTGGTCCGGTGAGCTGGTCCTTTTGGTCACTGTTCATAGAATGAGCAGAGCTGCAGCCCTGCTTCAGAAAGGGTCACAGCACAGCAGTCCCACGCGTGAGCGGCCGCAATTTTACAGGAATCTGGGCAGATACCCTGTGCTCTCACATTCTGGGGCCATATCTTCGGTGGTTCCCACGCTCCCGCACCCTCAGGGCAGAGCGCGCGGTCATTTGACGGCCTTTAGGGTTCTTATCACCCAAGTGTAGTGTTCTGATACGCGGAGAAGTGAGGCCCTCCCCGGGCAAGGAACAAATCTAACGTGTAAGACTCTTCTTAGCACCATGATGTTTACATGTCTCTGTCCAGAAAAGTGCCGGATTGTCCCTATTATATCCTGTTTGCAGGCCACTTTCATAGACGTGACGGCCCTTCAGATCCCTTGGTGATTGATTTTATATGTATCCAGGTTCAGTTAATTTAGCCTCGTGGGGGTGCGTTCTACAGCCAACCTCTCCGTGATGGGTTCGTTAGAATGTGCTTCTACTGGGTTCTACTGGGACAAGACTGAAGTCGCTTGAGCTTTTGGTGTCTTCCTTGTCCCTTCCAGAAGCAGTAGGTGCTGAGAAGGTGCATACTCTATTAGGGCAAACCCAGAGGCTTACCACCACCTCTACCACCCACCCCACCCAACCCTATGTGACCACAGCCTGCTCAGTCTTCATACCTGTGCCCTGGATCCTGTCTCTCTACGCTCGTTTCTACCCAGAATACACTGGAAATCCACAAAAATGCTACTGTAAAGAAAGCAAACCATGAAATGCTCATGCTGGGATCTCAGAGGAGATGCTGAGGCCTCTATAATTGGGGGGTTGGGGTTAATGTTTATTTATTTACTTTAAGAGAGAGAGAGCACAAGCAGGGGAGATGCAGAGAGAGAAGGGGACAGAGAATCTGAAGCCGGCTCCATGCTGACAGCACAGAGCCCACTGTGGGACTCAAACTCAAGAACCATGAGACCATAACCTGAGCCGAAATCAAGAGTCAGACACTTAACTGATTGAGCCACCCAACCGCCCCTCATCATCTCCTTTTCAAGACAAAGAAATGGAGGCATTTCTTTGTTACAGTAAATAGTCTGAAGTCACACCAGCAGAAAATGACATTCAAGCCAAGAACCAGGTACCATTTAATCCACAAATCCTGTGATACATTCACTATATTCTGCCGAATTGAGAGGAATTCTCATTTTCTGATGGAGATATAATTATGTATACTATTAATACATCAAACCACTTGGTTTGGTTGAGCTAAAACTCATGTAGACCCCCCTTCAGCTGCTCCCAGAGACTGTTTTGGGGAATAGAGGCACTAATGAGCGTTTAAGAGCCAGGGTTGTAGAATCTGAAAGCCTGCATCTGAATGTGGGCTGCTACCATTAATAAATCTTTCTACGTCTGGGTTTTCTCATCTGTAAGATGGAGATGACAGTATCCAACTTAGCAGTTTGTTATTAGGAATGAATGCAATAATGTAGAGCTCTTAGCATGACTCTTAGCATATATGAAATGTTCAGTAAATATTAGCTAATTGATTTGTGTAGGATATATTCTTTTTTTAATTTTTTTAATGTTTTATTTTATTATTGAGACAGAGAGATACAGAGCATGAGTAGAGGAATGGCAGAGAGAGAGGGAGACACAGAGTCTGAAGCAGGCTCCAGGCTCTGAGCTGTCAGCACAAAGCCCAATGTGAGGCCCCAACCCACGAACTGTGAGATCATGACCCGAGCCAAAGTCGGGCTTTGCTAACTGAGCCATCCAGGTACCCCGGAAATTTTATTGTCTAACAACAGAGGGAAGGAAAAGGCTTTGGGGAGAGAAGAGCCTGAATAAAATACAGTGGGATAGAATGGTCCCTGGGATTTAGCAATTAGATGGAGAAGGCCAGGAGTCAAAAAACTGTTCTGGGGCACCTGGGTGGCTTAGTCAGTTAGGCGTCTGACTCTTAGTTTCAGCATAGGTGAAGATTTCACAGGGGTGAGATCAAGCCCTGGGTCAGGCTCTGTGCTGAGCAGGGAGCCTGGTTAGGATTCTCTCTGTCTGTCTCTCTTTCTGTCTCCCCGCCCCAGCTTGTGCTCACATGATCTCTTTCTGTCTTGAAATAAATATATATGAAAAAAAATTACCTATCTTTAAAAAAAAAAAAAGAAAAGCTGTTTTGTTGAGTGACTTTATGTAAAATGAATCAGTAGGAGAACACCTCTACATCCAGTTGACAGGCAAAGAAAAAGCCATCCTTCCCCTCCTCTTCATGAACTTAGTACCTTCTAAACACTGTGAAGATTGGCAGGTCAAGGGTACCAAGAGGTAGAATAGTAGAGTAGTCAGTGGTTTTATTTACTACTGGCAACAATGAGGCTCCTTCAACATTTGAACAGGCCATGAATGTTTTTCAGGGAAACCAAAGCATGAACAGAAGAGTGAGGTGAACCCCCAAGTCTGGTTTATGCCTGTATAGCTTCTAGAGCCTCGTTGTATACTCCCGAAAATGCCTGGAGTGACCTTGCAAGAGGGAGCACAATGAAAGGTGAGAGCAGCAATTCGGGATTATCGATTGTAACATGGTATAATAGCGTTTCTTCATGGTATAAGATCTGACACTTCTGGCAGATTTTAATATTTATATTATATACACATATAGGTTTATATAGATGCATATATTGGCATTGTGATCTCTATATTCTGCATATTCATTAATCAGCCCCCCCCAACAAATGTAATGTAAATGTGTAATGTGTTGGGAAAGTGAATTTGTAGAGCAAAGATTTATCTAAATGACAGAGCTCCTGACTGCCACAAATTATTTTCATGTTGTTAGAAAATAGGAGAAAAAATAAATCCTTTTTAAAAGCTTATGATATAAATATCACACATGCAAAATGCTTAAATAATAATAATATGCTTAAAATAATAGTAAAACATGTCCATGTATCTACTACCCAGCTTGACATACAATACAAGAATATTACTTTCTGTTACAGTTGTAACAGAACTGCTATCAGTAAACCAACTGAATCTAGAAACGTGGCTAAACTTTAATTTTTATGGTTTTAATGATTTGTTGATTCCTTTAGGTTTTCTCTGTAGATATTCATTTCCTACTATATCATGACCAAATAACTAAAATACAATGAATTCATTTCATACGAACACATTTAACCCTCACCTAAATAGCTCATTTTCTTCACAACCACCAACAAAGTAGGTATTATCTATTGTCCTCGCTTTACAAAAAGAGAACTGAGATATAGAGAGGCTAGGTAATGTCCCTGAGGTTATATGACATGCATCAGAGTCAAGATTTTAAATTTAAAACCTGGCTCTTGGGTCTGTGATCTTAACTTCTCTGTTATGTAAGTAATTGCCATTCAAATTTTGTCCCTTCTAGAATCCTAACCAGCCCCTTCTCTCTTTTTCTGCCCTTCTTCCTATATTGGAGAGTACTGCACTCCTTCTACTATGTTCTTTTGCTGTATTTAACATCAACAGTGTTAACATTCTTGTCTCATTTCCAGTCTGAAGAGAATACTCCTAAGCATCTGTGTTAAATTCACATTTGCTCTGAGCTTTTGGTATATAGATTTTACCAAGTTAAGAAAGCTTACCTGAGTTTTTAGCCTAATCATTAATAGATAATGAACTTTTGCCAAACGATGTTTCGATTTCTGTTGATTTAATCATTTTATTTTTAGCCTTTAGAGTCCATTAATGTAGCAAATTGCATAGTTAGATTTCCTGATGTTAATCTCTGTTTGATCATGGTATCAGCTAAATTCACCTAAACGTTCTTTTTAGGATTTTCGCACCTATATCTAAAAGTAGAAATCATTTGGGGCGCCTGGGTGGCTTAGTCGGTTAAGCGTCCGACTTTCGCTTGGGTCATGATCTCGCGGTTCGTGGGTTCGAGCCCCGCGTCAGGCTCTGTGCTGACTGCCAGCTCAGAGCCTGGAGCCTGTTTCAGTCTGTGACTCTCTCTCTCCCTCCCCTGCTCACGCTGTCTCTCTCTCTCTCCTAGAAATAAATAAAACATTAAAAAAAATTAAAATAAATAAATAAATAAAAGTAGAAATCATTTATAATTTTTGTATTCCACATAGTGTCCTTATCCATTTTAAGAATCAAGGTTATACTGTGCTCGCTTCGGCAGCACATATACTAAAATTGGAAAGAATCAAGGTTATACTGAGTTACTAAAACAAATGTGACAGCTTTGTCTCTTTATTTTCCTGTTTTTAGAACATCTTGTACAAGATACAGAAGATTTGTTCCTTGAAAGTTTGGTCGAATTTGCCAGTGTGGTCTCTTATTTCAATTTCTTTCATGGTAATTTTTCTGTTAAAGTTTCCAACTTAATCGTGTACCAATTTTTTATCATTTTATATTTTCCTAAATTTATCTACTTTATCTACATTGTCAGATGTATTGTTGAATAGTCTCTATTGTGTCTTTATTTTTTCTGCTTATTTCATCAGTCTGCTTTTTTAGTCCTTTTTTAAAGTTTATTTATTTATTTAGAGAGAGAGACAGAGCATAAACACACAAATGGGGAAGGAGCAGAGAGAGAGAATCCTAAGCACACACCACATAGTCAGCTCTGAGCCCTACACAAGGCTCAATCTCACAGTGAGATCATGACTCAGTGGAAATTGAATTGGAATGCTTAACCAACTGAACCACCCAGGTGCCCCTGCTTTCTTTTTTATTTATTTTTTAATTTTTAAAACAAAAATTTTAAATATTTATTTATTTTTGAGAGAGAGAGAGGCAGAGAGAGAGAGAGAGAGAGAGCGCGCAGGGGAGGGCCAGAGAGAGAGGAAGACACAGAATCCAAAGCAGGCTCCATGCTCTGAGCTGTCAGCACAGAGCCCGAGGCGGGGCTCGAACCCACGAACCATGAGATCATGACCTGAGCTGGATGCTCAAATGACTGAGTCCCCCAGGAACTCCCCTGCCTTCTTTTTTAGATTCATCATTCTCTCTGGAGAGAAAGTATTGTATTAATGTATTCACCAAACCAGTTTTTTAAATTAATTAGTTGTTTTTAAGTAATTGCTACAGCCAACCTGGGGCTATAAGTCACAACCCTGAGATAAAGAATTTCACACTCTTTGAACTGAGCCAGGCAGGCACTCCACCAGCATTTGGTTTTGATAATTTTCCTTATTGGTTTG